GTGGAGGAGTCATGTGTTTATGTGACATGACGAAGAGTCACCGAATGTTGTGTATGAATGTATGCTTTCTCCACTCTGCTCAGAAAAGGAGGTGAGACACACAAATGTGTCTTAAAAGTATGCCTAATGCTCACTGTTACATAAGATGAAAAATTGGTATTTAACAGTGCTGCATGTATTTTTGGAATATTAGGTTTACATTGAATATGGGATTACTGTTTACTAATGTTTCTGTCCTCTGCTGACACTCAGCTGAACCATACTGAGGTGCTGAAAGAGGCCAAACTGTCACAGTTTTAACAGTAACAACCCCCTACTGTACTGTACGAATTTCCTGGAATTGACTTGCTTGCCTTTGATGAGTCAGTTTGTAGAGTTTATAGTAGTAAATGAGGAAAAATCGCAGATCATCAGGACCCAGATATACACCAATGAGCCAGCACTGTCCAACCACTTACCCATTAAGGAAATAATGTTGATTATCTGTTATGAACAAGGAGAATCATGTTCTGGGATAATGTAGATGTTAATAGAACAGTCGGTTTCTGTAATGGTGCAGGAGAAATGAGTAGGTGTAAAGACAAAAGTTTGCCAGATCATAACAACCACTGAACAACTGGGTTCTCTGAAACACAAGGCTTATGTGTTCTCTGAAACACACGGCCTGAGTGCAAACCTTGAACAGGTTGGTAGAAGACAGCTCCGGCTTGTATCTTCCTTTAGGACTTAAAGGATCTGCTGCTAATGTCTTCAAGCCAGATATCACAGGGCACCTTCAGAAGGTTGGAGCTGTTTTAGCGGCATGCAAAGGACTAACAGCTTAGTAGGTGTAATACGTTTTGGCTCATAGTTGTATTTGATCGTGCATCCAAAACTGGAAATATTTTGGTATTTGGTGTGTTAATAGCTGCATTAGGTAATGTTCTGTTGCAGGAGCTCAAGCAGGTGCAAGGTGGCATGAAGGTTTACAGGATCAGCCTTGTAATCAGCCTTTTGAGGCTTCCTGTTGCCAACTCTTAGTCTGCCAAAACTATAAAAAAATTTAAGTTTTTTCACTTTTTTCACTTTTTTTTTTTTTTGTATTTAAAAAAAAAAAAAAACAATTTAATGTAATTTTACACATTCTCCCTGTTCTGTTAACTTCCAGATAAAAACAGAAGAAAAGCATTAAATTATATGTTAACCCCCAAAATAGACAAGACATTTTTATCAATAATGTCAACTTCAAAAATCTGCATTTTGAGAATTTTTTTTATGTCTGATCGTAAAATTACATTATTTCACTGTATCTAAATCAGTTTTAAAAAGTATTATTTTACAGATATTGACTGTTATTTAAAAGAGAACAACATTTATATTAAAGACTAAATATGGTAAGATCATTTTACTCTTATGTTGCAGTTTTTCACTGTAAAATCACAGAAAACAATGTATTCATATGCTGATTGTAAAATACCCCATCAATGGCTCCTTTTGTAAATATATGTATATATTCTTATTTGTCTTTTTATACTTTTACTTTTATACTTTTGCACCACTGGAGTTGTCTTTTTAATTTTGTTGTACTTTGTGTATGATGACAATAAAAGCATTCTATTCTATTCTATTCTATTCTATTCTATTCTGTTCTATTCTATTCTATTCTATTCTATTCTATTCTATTCTATGTTTTTTGACGTTCTTAATGCAGAAGAAAAGACAAATAGATATTTGTATAAAAACAGTAGAATCTGTAGGACCCTAAACCACAAGGAAGAAAATCCAGTGTCAACAAAACGCATGGATTAATGCTTTGGACAGCAGTATTGAATCTCGTACTGAATAGACACAGTGAGTTTATATTTTTAGTTACTGGGAGTGAAATATCCAGTTTGCATGGCCTAAACCCAATAGCTCCATTTCCTACATTACAGGAACCACGCTGGTTTGGAGCAGAGTGTTCTCGGTCTTCTGTAATGAGCAGACATCCACTGTCTGCCTGCGTCCTGTCACAGTATCCTACCAAGTTAAAAATGGCTCATGTAAGGTTATACAGTGTCGGGAGGGGAGGAAAGGCTTTTCATTAAACTATTAGTGGAAATTTGGGAACTCTGATTTGCTTTGAATTTCAAAAGATTCCTCAGCTCATTTATCTGAAATACAGTATTCTCCCTGGGCCCATTCACTCTGTGTGGTTGATGTGAAGCGTCAGTTTATGGGAGGAAAAAAACCTTAAATAAATCAGGAGTCCATGATTTAGAGCTGGAAAGGAAGGCTGGAGAATACCAGAGATTAAAGTGAGGATATTAATTTTGTCAAAGCTACCGACATGTGCTGAGGCACCCCAAAATTTCTGTGAACACGTGTTTATAACAGATTTGCAAGTCCGTGTACTTGTGTCACTCTCAATTTTCTCTTGACAACTGGTTTGACTATACTACAAATCATCACTGATGATGTGGCACCATGTGGTGATTTACAAAGGAAGGTAAATATAGTTGACATACAGGTGGAATCTCTACAGAACATGTGCGGCAATCTATGTGCTAAAAAAAAACTGCTCATGCCACATTCCTGCGGGATTTTAATGTGTTTAAGAATGTTTTTTTGCAAAGCATGTATTTGCAGAAAGAAGACAGTGTTCCGCAACATCACATCATATCACATCCTTTAATGCATCATGTTCATGAATATGAATGTGAGTCATACTGGATTTGGACTGGGAAGCTGTCTTGGCTCTGTTCTGGGCCTCCAATTTAATGCCACAGAATGTCTTTTTGCCTTTGTGCAAATGTCAACATCAACCCTGGCCAGTTCTGACAAAGAAGAAATATTGTGTTGGCCAAATAATTTTACAGCCACATTTATGTGTCGGTACGAAGTCCGTGTTTTAAATTCAGAGAAGAAAAGCAGCCACAGGCTACAGTGCCTATAAAAAGTGTTCAGCCTCACTGGAACTTTTCCCCTTTTATTGCTTTTCGAGATTGAGTCATGGTCAATTTAATTTGGCTTTTTTGACAAGAATTGCAAAGAAAAGAAAAGACTCTTTCATGTCAAAGTGAAAACAGATTTCAACAAGGCAATGTCAATTAATTAAAGATATAAAATGGAAAATAAAATGAATTGTATAAGTCTTCGTCCCCTTAAAGTCACCATGTTTTGTTTTGTTAAATTACAGCTTTAGCTGCAATTACAGCATTGAGCCTGCGTGCGTAGATCTCAAACAGCCTTGCACATCTATACACTGTAATTTTATTCCATTCTTCTTTGCAAAACTGCTAAAGCTCTGTCAGGTTGCACAGGGATTGTGAGTGAGCTACAAGTTATCAATTTGTTTGAGGTCTGGGCTTTGATTCAGCCACTCCAGAATATTCACCGTCCTGTCTTTAAACATTCTTTGTAGCTTCAGATGATTGTCTTGCTGGGAAACAGATTTTCTTCCAAGTCTCAGTTCTCTTGCAGACTTCATTAGGTTGTCTCCAAGGATCTCACTATACTTTGTTGCATTAATTTTACTCTCTACCTTTACAAGTCTTCCAGGGCCTGCTGCTGAGAATCATCCCTGTATCATGATGCTGCCACCAGCATGCTTCATGGTGGGCATGGTGTCTTTGTAATAATGGTCTCTGTTGTATTTTTGTGCACTTTCCAGTTGGTGTCTGTGTTGTGGGTTCTCTGTGCTGCTGTGTTTCAGGCTGGGCGGGGCTGTGCCAGTGGAGAGCTCGTCACACACCTGTCACCCATTTCCCATCAGCCACTGGTTAAAGCCTGCCTTCACGTGTGCTCCAGTGCCAGATGATTGTTCAGCCTCTCGTGGTATCGTGGCCGCTCAATTCTACTAGTCTTGAGTACTCTTGTGTTTTTCAGTCTGGTGTTTTCGCTAACCTCGTTATCTTTTTGCCCGTTCCAGCACTGCCTCCACCAGCTCACCAGCAGTCCCTGTTCAGCCAGCACAGAGAACCCCACCAGCACCAACCAGCACGATTCACTGCACCAACCCCCACACATCTACGGGAAATTCCCTGGCACCACTTCCACCTCACAGCCCTCGGAGCACCTACACCTTGGAGTGGACCCCGTCTGGCACCTCATCCTCGACGAACTGGTTTCCCCACCACGGACCTTCACTCCCCGGTTCCCCAGGAATTCCCCTTTACCCCTGACCCAATCAATAAATATTCCTTAACCTTCTCCACCATCTCCCTCTGCATATTTTCTGGCGCAGAGTCGCCACACAGTGTTTAGGATGCCAAACATGTCTAGTCTGATGGCCAAAAAGCTCAATCAATTTTCTCTCATAAGACCAAAGAACCTTCTTCCAGTTGACTTCAGAGTCTCCAGCGTGACACTCTCTAATTGACATTGAAGATGAGGTTTTCACTTTCCCATAAAGTTTTGATGGCTGAAGAATAGGCAACAGTTGTTGTATGCACAGTCTCTCCCATCTCAGCTGCTGAGCTTGTACATCCTTCAGAGGACTCATAGGTGTCTTGGTGGCCTCCCTCACAAGGTTGTTTCTTACATGCTCACTCAGTTTTTGTGTACTTTGGCAGTATTTGTCCACTAAATGTTTGAAATAAATTTTAAAAATTAAACTGACAATGATTCAATGTTAAAAAGCAACAAAAGGGTAAACTTCCAAGGGCGGTTAATACTTTTTTAGGCACAATATTTAAGCAGATGCAGCTAATTTAAGAAATCCTGTCTTGGTATTCTGTTGCCACTCTGTATTTTAGACCAGGGGTTCTCAACTGGTCTCACCCTGGGACCCACATTTTCCCGTGGTCATTAAGTCGCGACCCGATTATTATTTTTTTTTTTTAAGAATTCAATATTCAATATATTTTCCTGTGCAATATGCATTTCAGAGCATATAACCATGCACAGTAACTGGACAATGGCAACTGTGTGTACTAAACTGCACAAAATAAATAAGGGCACAAAACAATATGTTTTCACTTTATTTTGAGCAAATTAATGAGAAACTAAGAAGGACCATGACAACTGCATGTACAAAAGAAGGAATATTTAGAGATCAAAATTGATATCCCAGTTCCAGCACAGCGAACGAATAGTTGGCTATTGAGGTCCAGCCCTAGTACATTTTCAATACTCCGGGTCATATTTGCGCTTTGACATCTTGCGTCCCAACATCAACACAAACTTAAAATGAACGTCAAACAAACTATGGTTACCATGCCTGTCAAAATAAAAGTTTTTTCAAAATAAAAAATAAGTCCAACCTGAGACGCACATTATATGTTATTTAATTTTGACCAACTGTCCGCGGATCCACCCAGAACAGGTGACCCACCAGTTGAGAACCCCTGTTTTAGACTCCTGTAAGTGAAATAAGGTGAGCAAACTTTTAGCTGTGCACGCGTCCTCCTGAGAAATAACGTACAACTGCAGTTGCTCACATGGTTGACTCTTAGATGAGAACAGGCAGTATGGTTGATTTTGTTACATTCTTCTGTGCAGTTAACAATTATTGGACTACAGTCAATGCAAATCAAGGCAGTTGTGGAGAGAAAAAAAAAAGCTTGAGTTGGGCTTTTGAGCCAATTCATTTGTGGAACCAAAACCACTTCTTGAAAGAAATATGCATTGATTAAAATGACCCAGTGGTGAAAATGGGCTCCTATGGCAGTGCCAAACAGTTTTCATGCAATTAGTTGGAGTATTGTGTGACGGGATAATGAAAATTACAGTCCGGCCTTCTTCCTGTTCATGTCCACTTAGTAAATGCCTTTTTAGGATTGCAGTTACAGGAAAAGATTAAAAGTTTCTGTAGGTTTTGTGGACATATTATTGTGACATAGAGTGAGACCATTTTTCCTTCACCATATTTACAAAATACCTTTCTGCAGAACACACGTCTCTTCAGATGAACGCTGGTTTGCAGAATTTTTTTCCTCGCCAGCCTAATGATTCTGAAGATACTTATCCATGTGATTCAGTCTTTACGGGAATAATGAGGAGAAAGCACTTCCAGTGTACTCCCATGTTACCATTTTTGATTTATTCCCTGATGATCAGTGATCTATGATGTGAAGGGATTTACTGAAATCTTCCAGGGCTGTTTTTCAGTGTAAATATGGGGGAAACTTCCTGGACTTCCTATTAATCTGATTCATTTGTTCATTCACACCGCAGCTGCTATCAATTGCTGATCAAATGTCCACGTCTACAGGTCACCAGTAGCGATGAATTCACTGTTAACTATCACCAGATTCTGCAGTTTCCACTTAACTAGTTTTCAATTTTGTTTGGTTTTCAGGTTCACTTTCACTGGTCTAAAACTGTGATTTCCCAACCAGGAGTACAAGATGTGCTCAACACATCTGGAAAAAAAAAAAAAGAAATTACAATTTAGTATAAACAGGCTTAAGTGACAGAGAAAGCAAAGATATCATTTTCAAATACCACAGTTTGTATTTTTTTTCTCCAAATCTTACACTGCAGAAGGCAACGGATTTCTGAGCAAGAGGGTCAAAGGTGAAGATGCAATGTTATGATGAACCAGTCTGTCACATTTGTGTGCATACTGCACGTAACAACGCATTCTCTGTAACGGCTGTAAGTTTAAATAATAAGCGTGCAATTTGGAACATAGTGTAAAGCTTGATTTATACTCCTGCATTGAATCTACAAAGAGCTGACACTCTAAACCCATGCAAGTGGCCTTCACTGTTGTGAGCATTTATTCTTGTGCGCTGATGTATCAGTAAGTGATGACACTGCCAAAGCCCTAGCTGGCAGTGAGTTTTCTGAGTTTCTTAGCATACATCAAAAAATGGTGACTAAAACAGAACAGATTGTTGTCATCTTGTTGGAGTTGGAGCTAATATGTTGAAATTGACTAAGCACAAATTGGTACAATACAGCTGCACACTGAAAAAGTCAGATAAAATTACAGCCTATTACTCTACAACATTTTGTTTAACAGAAGCACTATCATAGCGTAAATCAATATGCTGTAAAACACAATCCACACTGAAAGATAAAATCAATGCAGAAGTGCTGAAAACTGCAGTTCCACGAATGGCCACTTGAGGCTGCCTCCAAAAATTATATAGACTCCAATGTTAAGGTATGAGGTATATTGAGCTTAAAGCCAGAGTTTTCAGTATCACAAAGGTGGCTCTCTTTTTACCTGGCTAGATCTTCATGGTAGCTTATGCTGTGGAGCTAACCTAGGGCCTGTACTATGAAGCAGGATTTAGGGTTAGCGAGGTACCTTCAGGTTAAATCCTGGGTTTTCGGTCCTACGAAGGTGGTTCACTTCTTACCGGGGTACATCACCATGGTAACTTATGCTGAACGGCTAACCTGTTCTGCAGCAGGTTATGTTTGAAATTGAGATCACTGGGTATAAAAATACTGCCCACTGAAAATCAGTTCTCTTTAGAAGGAGCAGAAAGTGAAGCAGTTCTTAACAAAATGGCATCACCGGCATTTATTGAAGACCCGCTACACATCGGATCGTGAATTGTGAGGGAACACTGAGGAGTGTGAGGGTTTTTCGGGACCAGCAAAACAGCGCATGAGGATCTCTATGAGCTCCTGTTTTCCTTCATTCTTTTTTTTTTTTTTCCTGTTGGCTACAGGCAATGTCAAAGCGAATTCATATTGTTTTTTCCATGCCAATATCACTCCACAACAGTAAACTGACTTTCAGATTAAAACTTGTATTTGTAGGATATGTTAATAATCCTACACTGCTTTGAATTATGTTTGTTCTTCATTTGTTCCCATGTCCTTTTTACACCACCAAGGTTGCAGCTGAAAGTAAAAAATGTCAGATATGCCACAAGTATATACATTAGACAACAAATTAATTAAAGGAATCCTCAGTTGTGCTTATTGTCCGATACATGTCTTCATGATGGAACAGTGATCATATTTTATTATATTATAAATTATAGAACTTATGCATTCACACAGTCAGCAATTTTCTGCCAGCTTTCCTTCCTGGCTTTTAGCTCCTATGATGTTTTTATATTCTTCATATTTTGTAAAGATTATATTCTGCTCCTCGGCGGTAAAGTAAGCTGCTCTGCAGCCAGATTTGTCCATAGTTGTGATTGGTCAGAGGTCGACCCATTTTATGTGCATGCGCTCATACTCAGATCAGACAAACCTGGGTTGACTTACTGAGCTGATAACCACCATCGTAGGACTGGTTATCCTGAGTGCGATTGTTAGGGTTAGTCAAGCTGGATCTCTGAAAGATATCCTGGGTATGTTGATCTTGCGAGATTAGTGGGTTAGCAAGGTATGTTGAGCTTAAAGCCAGAGTTTTCAGTACCACGAAGGTGGCTCTCTTTTTACCTGGCTAGATCTCCATGGTAACTTATGCTGTGGAGATAACCTGGTCGGGAGCAGGTTATGTTCACAGTTTCAGATTTAAATCGGCTGAAGGAACATCTCCCTTTAACCAAATCGTTTCCTGACTATTATCTATGACCAATACAGATTCTGAGCTGAGGGAATGTGTTTTATCTGCTAACATGCTGAGTTGTGCGTTACTAACATCACTGAATGAGGTTGCAATATCGCACACAGTCGACGGAGACGGAGCGCTCCACACAGGCAGTACTTGGCTGTTGATGCCATTTTAAGTTGGCAGTCACAGTTCTGTCACCATCGATGGTGGCGGCGGGTGGTGTGCAGGCTGGGGCAGGTTGCAGGTGAATATATATCATATACCACCACAACGACCAAAAATTTGGATATTTGGATGTTCGGGTCCAGCTCGACTGTAAATATCACGTTGCCATGGGAACCCGACATCTTAAGTTGGCCATGCAGTAATCGCATAAATATGTTTTTTTGTTTGGCTCTGATTTGCTGTCAAGTTCGTTCACACTGCTGGTACTGCTGCTGCTCCTCAGGTCTGTCTGGGGGAGGAATAATTATCTAAAGTACTGAAGTAAGCGTTATCAGGCTTTGGAAAATTAAGAGCAGGAAAGAAGCCAAATGAAGTCTGTATTGACTTTGTAACTTTGTACCATGAATACTCAATTACAAACTTTGAGAAATACAAAAGTTGCCACGGGATGAATATTTCCTTGAATTAAATAGGAAGATTATTTTATCTGTTCACTGAGGCTCAGCAGTAAAGTTTCATCCTGTCTGTTCAGCATCTCGAGCATCTGTTTGAGCAGTAAGCGAGATGGTGTTTTGTTTTGTCCTCCAGCTCTTGCTGATTAACTTATAGCTGAATGGTGATACACGAGTGTGAGTCTGGGCTGGATTTCCAACAAGCATCTTGGCAGCGATTCATGCATTTGTTCCAGTGTAAATGACTGGAGTGAGTCACTCCTTGTGGCAAATAGGTCTCAGATCCTCACTGATAAACCGTAGTGACTTCAACGCAGAGGTTATCTAAGGTCATCTGACCAGGAACACCGTTATGATGACACATCAGCAGCAGCTCGGCCTCCTGGGAAATGCTCTGAGCTCGTCTCTGGTGTCCAGTGTCAGCGGAGTCGAGGCTGTAAAAACGGAACACTGCAAAACCAGCAACCTGAGCAGCCAAGAGCGCTCAGATGATCAAATCATAACCTCCCCTCTGAAAATGACAGAGCAGTCAAGTGCCGAATGAGACTTGCTCCTGGTGCTGAAAAAATCCAAGAAGGAGCTTGGTTGTTTCATCACAAAAGCAAATATGCTGAAAACTGTCTTCATAGTGCAGGAACCGTCCTTGACATGCTGTGCAGTGTTGCAATACATGTGCAGCACCAGTTAGTTAGAAACTGAAATATCCAACTGAAAAACTCTTAAACAACCAGGAAAATAGAAACGGAAAAGTACAGATACGCTGCCAGAGCTGCACAGTCTCTGGGAATCTGTCCTCTCTGAGGGATGATTGCGAAGCCACAAGTTGTGCGATAAAACTCAATCTTCTGCCAAGCCCCCAAAACATACAATAAATCACACTGGAGATGCTGGAAGAGTTTACTTCCAGAGACATGAGTCAGAGAAAAGCTTGAGGGAGGAAAGAAAGTTTTGCTCCTTCGTGATCTGCTCCCTTGGTTCTCAGTTTAAAAGTGAGGACCTAACTCCGAAAAGAAGTGATTTAGCGAGCTGCTGTTAGTGCGCTTGATGACTGGATATTAATGGAAACTGTATTTTTAGCCAACACTTACCACTGTATTGGTATATCTCCAGACCTGCAGCTGCTGTGAAGACCACAAACTATCTGGTAAATGTACAAACACTGTGCAGCCATCTTTCATTTAAGTGGGTAAATTCTGATCAAAGCAGACGATGACAAGCTGCAGTCAGAGAGCAGGATAGCATGTTGTGATTATGTGTGGAAGTTAGTTCAAAACTAATTTCTGCAGAGAAGGTTGAAGCGAATAGCATTTAATCTCATGAAAGATTAAAAAGAAAAAAAAAACAATAGGTGAAAAACTATATTGAAGTGTGCTTTTACTGTTTCTGCTCTGTATGTTATTGTGCAGGCGACCTTGTTGGCATCCTATTTGCGTAATCTTAGTAGCTTTACATGATAAACTGTACTGAGTCAAGCCTGGCTTTGTGTTAGGAAGCACCAGCTCCCTCTCTGCTAATCACATCTTCTTTAAAAAGGTGCACAATATTCACACACTATTTTGATTTTTGCTTTCTATATTTAATCTAAAATTATAATATCAATTTATAGAGGCAGAGCGTAGAGTTAAACCTTAGCTCTAGAAGCTTAGAGTTAAGTTTATTTGCTTGTTAATAAAATTAAATCAAAAGACATTCCGTTCTAAAAATCATTAGATGTGTGTTGAAATCAAATGTAATCAACCCTATTCAAGACTTCCATGTTACCATGAAGAAGGTCTTTTGGGGTCCATTGGACCCCAAGAAAGATTATGTACAAAATACTTGTTGGTATTCATGATAGACTTTTATACTATGTTAAATACATTTTCTAATAAGTTGATATATTTTTGGTTCCAAATGCATGAAAAATGTCCCTCTTTTTTATATATTTAAAAACCTAAACCAAATGGCCTGGGGTCCAAAAGACCCCAAAAGTCCTGAATAAGGTTAAAATGAATACTGAAGAAAGCACAAGTATTTAGTTTATTTTGAAGGACCATTAATGATAATTGATTGTTGATCTATGAATTGGGCATTCTTGTTCAAATCATTTTAAGAAACTCATCCATCCATCCATCCATCCATCCATCCATCCGTCCATCCGTCCATCCATCCATAATCTGTACACCATTTAATCCTCACTAGGGTTGCAGGGGGGCTGGAGTCTATCCCAACCGACTTAGGGGGAAGGCAGGAGACACCCTGGACAGGTCGCCAGTCTATCACAGGGCCACACTTAGAGACAGACAACCAAGCATAGTCACATTCACACCTACGGACAATTTAGAATCACCAGTTAACCTCAACATGTTTTTGGACTGTATGGGAGGAAGCTGGAGAACCTGGAGAGAACCCACGCTGCATGGGGAGAACATGCCAACTTCACGCAGAAAGATTCCGGTGCCCCCAACTGAACTGGCGACCTTCTTGCTGCGAGGCAAAAGTGCTACCAACTGTGCCTAAGAAAATCATATCTAATCATATATAATATATGTATTTTACACAATTTCCCCTTGGGGATCAACACAGTATTTTTTGTTTTATTCTATATATCTGTTGTTTTTCTGAGTTCTGATCAGATGAAGGGCTACAAAGTGGCATAGTTTGTAGCACTTGCCTCGCAGCAAGAAGGTCGCCAGTTAGCGTCCCGGTGGGGGCACCAGGACCTTTCTGTGTAGAGTTTGCATGTTCTCTCCGGGTTGTCTGTCCTGTCCAGGGTGTCCCCTGCCTTCACCCTAAGTTATAGGCTCCAGCACCCCGCGACCCTAGCGAGGATTAAGCGGTGTATAGATAATGAATGGATGATCAGATGGATCAATTTGAACTGGGAAGCTGAGCCCCCATGCTAACTATATTGAAATACAAATAAAGATTAATGGGTTAACAAGGTATGTTGTACATTTATATACTGGGTTCTGATTTGCTGCCAAGTCAATTTTACAGCTGGTTTTGCAGCTAATAAAACACAGAATAGATAATTGATCAGCCTATTAGTATTTATCTCAGAGAATATTTAATCAATGACAATCTTTAGATCATGATTTGACCAAAAACCAAAGTGATTTCCACGTAGCCTTCAACCGGAGACACTGTCAAACCTAAATGCACTACTTGAGCATCATGTTTAAATGTTTAAAGCGCTTATCTAAAGCTGTCTCGTCAGAAATGAGCTGCACTGAGAGTCACCGAGTGGTAAAATTAATATATTGCTTAGACGATTAGCAGTTTTCTACCAGCGTTCCTCTCTTGCATCATTTGCAGGAACAGTGTTGCTTTTTATCAAAATCAATTTTTAGATTCCTCACACTCTCCTTTACAAAAGAATGTTTCTCTTGACTGAAGTAGGCGGCACATCATTTTTCATTTTTGTGCGAGTCTGCAAATGTTGCAGTTAACATAGACAGTTGTCAACCGCTGTGGTAATTATCTCTGATTGAGGTTTTTGGTTTTGCTGAGCCAACTCTCACAAAGTCTGGTTTTGTCTAACTTGCTTTGTAATGCATCCTTTCTGCACTAAAGGGACCAAAGCAAAGCAGGTTTTACCACCAAGTTTTCTGGCTCATTTGTGCCAGTATAATGTTTTAACTTTATACCTTGACTTGGAACACTTGGCTTTTTTGTATTTATCTATTTTGTATAGATTTTGGTAGCAAAGAAACGAATGAAATTGGTTCATGACTTGCAAACTCCAAAAAATCACTAGCTCATTTGCATTTAGCAGACTAGACGAAAATGTTGTGGTTGTTTACAATTTAATAACTGCATTGATTGACTTTTTGGCCATTTATGGAAGAAGAACTCAATTTAAACTCTCAAGACTTGACATTTTACAAGCTTACAACTTGTGACGGTTGCATTCATATTATTGAGCAACATTTGTATTTGTTTGGAGTCGTGTTTTTGGCAGCCATTCCCTATCCTCTCAGCTCTGCTTTATCACTGAGAAAAACCCTGGATCAAGTTAGTGGATGTTAGAGTCCACATTTAAAACTGTGCAACACCCTAAAAACAAGGTGCATATAGACACAACTACTTGTTGTTTGAAAGCAAATCGGATTCTCGGACGTTTTTTATAGACGGCATTGTGTTTAGTCATAGCAGGAGACGCATATTAAATTATCAGCTACACCTGCGTCAGCAAGTCTAACTGACTGCTAAATCTGAGCACACAAGAAGCTGCACAGAGCTGCAGAATTTATCCTTCAGTTGTCCCTGTAAAGCATTTAGAGAGCAACTTAATTATCTAAAGTAGAGCTGCAATGATGGATCAATTAGCTAATTGAAAACTATTTTGCTAATTAATTTATCCATATAAGTAATTTACAAAAAAAGAAGAAAAAAACTTTAAAATGCTCGGATTCCAGCTTCTTAAATTTAAATATTTTTTGTTTTCTTAATAACTTCAGGTTTTGAACAAAAAAAATAATAATAATTGAGGATGTCATCTTGGGCTTTGGGAAATACTGATTACAGTTTCCACAGTTTTGTTTTTTTTTTTTGACATTTTATAGACATTGCAGTGTATTTTTTGTGTTCAGGGAGTGCCTTTAAAATTAAATTGTATTGTTGTCTTGCAGTGCACTATATTGACAATAAAGCTTCTAATTCGAAAAAGATTACCTAATCATGAATAGAATCATTAGATTAATCCACAATACAAAAAATCATTTTTAAGTCCTAATTTTAAGGTCACGGAAATAAAGTTTTAAGTTCAATGGCAGCTCCCATTAATATTAATCACATTAATAATGTGTAGCTTCATCAACAGAAGCCTCATAAGGATTGTATCTGACAAATGTTTCTTTGCAAAACAGAGCCATGCTGGCTTTAAACCCCTGACCCACAGGAGGAAAACCTCAAACTGTTAGTTTTAGGTTTCCCTCAAATCCAACTACCCTTTAAGACAGATGTGCCCCTTCTTTAGGCTCTCACTTCAGTAAGTGCTCAGAGTTTGCTGCTCTGAGTCTTATGTGTCCAACTTTGGAGCATCCGGTGTTGATAGGTGTGAAGAACAGCCTGGTCAGGTAGGATAACTCACTTTCTCTAAATGCCTGAAGGCTGGCACACCAACAGAGCAGCAGACATCAGATGAATCCATCAGCGGCTGGAGGGAGATTCCTGGTGGTACTAAATCACACTGAATGAGGCTCCTGGGACCACCGCTGCGACGGAAAACTCTCCCACAGACAGTGACGGAAATTGAAGACCAAAGACTGTCTGTTGTGGAGACAACACTAGAAAACAGATGCTGCACCATGTGCTGCATGGAAACCAATAGTCGGTCCTCCTGTCAGCTTATGAGGACTGTTTTTTTCTGCATCACTGCATAGAAGCTGATTTATTCAGTAACTGTGTGTGTTTGTCTTTTGCCTATGTCACAAAGAGGGAGGGAGACTCTTCTGCTGTCGTAACTTTTCCACCTGCAGCATTCACCGACACACGTACCGATATGGAAATTATGTCTGCCAGTGGAATTAATTTCTATTCTTTTGAGGATGTAAAAACTAATCCATCATGATTTGAACAAATCTGAGCAGACGCACAAGGCAAATTGTTCTTTATGGGTTTGTGCAGCTGAGCAATTCACAGCACATTAATAAACGATGGATGACTTGCTGTAAAGGTAGTAAGATTAATGAGGCCCCTCATCCATGATGACTATAGCTCTGGAAAGGGGAGGATATCCAATAAAAAGCCACACGAAGAACAAGGGGTATCAGCTTAGAGGTGTTTTGCTTTAAAGTCATATATATATATATATATACATATTTAAAGTCATATATATGACTT